GATGACTGAAGTGCAACATCGATACATGGAATGGATGAGGCGGATGATAGGCATAGGCACTTGAGCCCACACTCTGAGGAAACGCCTGACGCAGTTCAGCTGCAGTTTTCGGCATTGGTCCGACGTCATTCAGCCGTCTTTGAATCTCGTCCCACAGGTGCTCAATGGGATTTAAATCGGGACTGAGGGCAGGCCACTGCATGGTTCTGATGCCCTTGTGTTTGAGGAAGTCTCTTGTTGCTCTCATCATGCTGAAACTCGCGCTTGCGCTTGCGGCGACGTGCCAAATGAGGTAAGGCGTATGGTCTCAAAACTCAATGTACCGAGCTGCTGTGACACCATTGTCTCTCCCTGGACCGATGTCCTGGAAGACCACAGGGTCGACCCTCTGTGCAAGACCAATTCCACCCCACACTATGATGCTCGGACCACCCCAACAACACAAGCATCCGAATAACTGTCTCCACGGCGTCGCCAGACTCTCTCTCTCTCTGCCATCTGCTGTTTTAAATACAGTAACGGCTCTCGTCTGAGAAGAGGACTCTTCTCCACTGCTGGTGGCGCCAATGCTGGTGCTGTGGTGCTCACTGAAGACGGTCCCGGCGATGACGTGGTGTCAGAATGGGTCCTCGGTGTGGCCTGTGACAGTGGAGGTGTCTGCTCGTCAATCGTCGACGCACGCTGTCGCACAATCTGACGATCTTGACGTCGGATGGTGACCCTTCCACTACGTGGTCGGTCATCTGTAGTGTTTGGGGTCTGGTACCGTTGCTGGAGCCTGTATATGGTCTTTACGTGGACCTGAAATGCATTGGCTACTTGCCGGGCGATTTGTCCAGCTTGCAATCGTCCAAGGGCTTTGTGTCGCTGATTTCTTGTCAATCTTGGCATGTGGTAGAAATTCAATAACAAATGAATGTTATCCGATCTGGGTGGATATTTATAGGGCAAGAAATGGGGAAACGCATGTGCATTTCAATTTGCACGGAACTCACGTGTATCGGGTTACCATGGCCGTTGTCGTGATGCGTTTGGGCGATTTGGTTTTATTGTCTTCTGCTTTGTTTTTTTTATCATCAAATTTCATTTTTCCGGACAAGGTAATGTGAAATTTTAGATACTTAGACAAAAATTACCCAGATATTTAAATGACAACTTTTCATGCAATGTTACTTGGGGTGACGTTTCTTTTGCGGTTCAGTATATTTTAGCTATAATACTTGTTTAAACGTTCACATTTAGTGCATTATATATTCCATCGTTAACGTTTGTGTTTACATTAAAGCGTTGTCAAGTTTTCATTTTGACATGACAAGTGCGATAAAGATAATAGATAGTGTAAACTTTTCGCCTAACGCCTCGCCCAATACTTTTCTTTAACCAAAGCTACGTGATAAATCGCAAAGAGCAATGAAAAAAGAAAGGTGGTCTATTTCACAATAAAACACTGTTCTATCATTACGTTATTTCTGTAATGAATATGCGCTCGCAACTTGATGACATCATATATTGGACGACGTTTTGTTTGAGAGGGAGGTATCTTGTGAGTTTTCCCGATAGATGTAGCTGGGGTTTGCAGCTAAACGTTGTGGCCGAACGATCGCACCCAAAAGTGAGAGCGATTTGGCAATCGGAGAAAAGATTCAGATTATCGACGTGAGGATTGTGAAAATATGCGGGAAATACCAAACTTAACCCACCTGTCCATAAAATGGAGTTGTCCGACATTGCCGAGGTCGGATTCTATTCAGAGCGCCATCATTATTTAAGTGAATTAAGGTAACTATGTTTAAAGCTTGTACATTTTATCAACATCCTTAAAGAGGCTGCACATAGTGTCGATATCTCATATAAGAAATAAACGACGAGCGGGAGTTGTTTATCGTACAACTGCAGGGAGAATAAACCATGAGGGGCACAGCTTCTTTTGTTTAAGACAAAGGGGATTCCGACTCGGGCAAACGAGGAAGTGTACATAGTTCCAAGGATGTTTATGTTAGGCTTGACATACTTGGCTATAAGTGGTTGTATTGCTGTTCGTTTTGTGAATGAAGGCTGTCGCGGATAAATCTATCCAATTCCGAGGATAGATAGTGCTTTGGATAGTTTTTGGAATGCTGAGTGGTACAGTGCCACTATTTTCAGATATTGGCAAGTCTCCCTCGAGGACCATATGGACTGCATAAGTTCAATGTTATGCCCATCACGTTCTGCGCCAGCTACATTTCAGGCTTACAGTTTGTATTGCGTCATGTATGTTTAGCTGACAATACCAACTGCAATCGTCCGGATCCACCTTCATTTAATGTGTTTGACCAACATTATTCGTCCTGATGTGTTTTCTTTTAATGTGTTTGACCAACAGTATTCGTCCGGATCCACTTTCATTTAATGTATTTGACCAACTGCCCTTGTGCGGATAGACTTTCAATTAATGTTTTTGTCCATCTGCATTCGTCCGGATGTGTTTTCAATTTATGTGTTTGACCAACAGTAATCGTCCGGATGTGCTTTCAATTTATGTGTTTGACCAATACTGATCGTAGGGATGTGCTTTCAATTTATGTATTTGACCAACAGTAATCGTCCGGATGTGCTTTCAATTTATATGTTTGACCAACAGTAAACGTCCGGATGTGCTTTCAATTTATGTGTTTGACCAATACTGATCGTAGGGATGTGCTTTCAATTTATGTGTTTGACCAACAGTATTCGTCAGGATGTGCTTTCAATTTATGTGTTTGGCCAATAGTAATCGTCTTGATGTGCTTCGATTCATATATTTGACTAAAAGTAATCGTCCGGATCCACTCTCAACTGATGTGTTTGACCAACTGCCTTCCGAAAGTCCCCTCAATAAATATTTAACCAACAGTAATTGCACGGATATGCTTTCAGGTAATACATTTAACGAACAGTTATCCTCCGAATGTGCTTTCAATTAATGTGTTTGACCAACAGTCAGTGTCTGAAACTAGCAGAGTAAACTGAGAGCCTTAAGGGCCAGCACATTTACAAAAAAAACTGTAGGCCCAGTGGGGAAACTGTAGGTCCAGTGGAAAAAACTGTAGGCCCAGTGGAAAAACTGTAGGCCCAGTGGAAAAACTGTAGGTCCAGTGGAAAAACTGTAGACCCAATGGAAAAACTGTAGACCCAATGGAAAAACTGTAGGCCCAGTGGAAAAAAACTGTAGGTCCAGTGGAAAAACTGTAGACCCAATGGAAAAACTGTAGGCCCAGTGGAAAAACTATAGACCCAATGGAAAAACTGTAGGTCCAGTGGAAAAACTGTAGACCCAGTGGAAAAAAACTGCAGGTCCAGTGGAAAAACTGTAGACCCAATGGAAAAACTGTAGGCCCAGTGGAAAAACTGTAGGCCCAGTGGAAAAAAACTGTAGGTCCAGTGGAAAAACTGTAGACCCAATGGAAAAACTGTAGACCCAATGGAAAAACTGTAGGCCCAGTGGAAAAAACTGTAGGTCCAGTGGAAAAACTGTAGACCCAATGGAAAAACTGTAGGCCCAGTGGAAAAACTGTAGACCCAATGGAAAAACTGTAGGTCCAGTGGAAAAACTGTAGACCCAGTGGAAAAACTGTAGACCCAATGGAAAAAAACTGTAGGCCCAGTGGAAAAAAAACTGTAGGTCCAGTGGAAAAACTGTAGGTCCAGTGGAAAAAAACTGTAGACCCAATGGAAAAAACTGTAGGCCCAGTGGAAAAACTGTAGGCCCAGTGGAATAACTGTAGGCCCAGTGGAATAACTGTAGGCCCAGTGGAATAACTGTAGGCCAAGTGGGGAAACTGTAGGTCCAGTGGAAAAAACTGTAGGCCCAGTGGAAAAAACTGTAGGCCCAGTGGAAAAACTGTAGGTCCAGTGGAAAAACTGTAGACCCAATGGAAAAACTGTAGGCCCAATGGGGAAACTGTAGGTCCAGTGGGGAAACTGTAGGTCAAAAGTGGAAAAAAACTGTAAGCCCAGTGGGAAAACTGTAGGTCCAGTGGAAAAAAACTGTAGGCACAAACATTTTAGCTGAAGCAGGGAGACATACTCTTGCAATATAAAGTACAAAACACAACCAGTCAATCAGACTCTGTGGTGATAGATGAAGCCTACATTCATCAAGGAAATTGTCAAATTGTAAAACATCTTTGCGACTACATGCCATACACCATTTGAAAGGTCTTATTATACTGTTTATACATATGAATGTTATGTTTATCATATTTCTTAAATAATGCTTAATAAATGAATGCTTTAATAAACGGCAAGCCGTAAGGTCCTGCTGAAATTTAAAACTATCAACCCGAGAACCAGTCTATCGGCCTCGGGGCTACGGGCCAATGTCTATTTCGAGTGAGTGAGTGAGTTGGGTTTAACGCCGCTTTTAGTAGTATTAGTATTCCAGTCATATCACGGCGTGTCAGCTTAATGTGGGAGGAAAGCCCGAAGTGATGCAGTTCTTAGACGTTTACCACTTCGGTGAAACCAACGAGCAAGGGCATGTTGCTTACAAACCTTAAAACATAATCGGGGCGAACCGGGATTCGAACCCACAATCATAGGTTTCTGGCGTGCCAAAGGGACGCAACTCTGCACAGCGACTCGCGGCGCCTTAGACGACTGGGCCATCCGATGCCACTGTCTATTTCGAACACTGACGACAGTAATCGTGCATACCTGGGAAATCATTGCATATATAATCAACAAATAATGCCATTTTCGAAGTAACCACGAATATTATTTAATCTAAAATAATATTCCCATAACTATGTACATTTGCAAATAGTCGTAACACAGAATAACGAAATACGTATTTAACACAGGGAGATGGTGTAGTGCCTTACAAATAGTAATTACCACAATCAACACTCAGAAATGAAAATACTCTCACATTATTCACAAGAGCCCCGTGAATCAAAGAGATGAAGGGGAGGTAACTCAGGACAAACGAACCCGCCAGTAGTGAGCAAGCGGTAGCGAGTGAGTGGGATGCTGGTATTGATCGAGGATCGGTCACTTAATCAGCTGATGCCGCACCGCTCCCACAGTACAGTTGCATCCAGGGCGCGACAGGGGGGTCAACTCATTCTTCAACTCGGATACTAGGATCGTGTGACTTAAAGAGTTATGCCGATGATTTTCATGTGAAAAGAGGATTTCATACACATGGCGAACAATGAAAGTGCAGACAAGGTAAATCATGTAGGTTTGTAGACATGACAAGTGATGTTGCCACTGCATCTAGCATGGGGTGTGGAAACTTTCCTGACCCGCTGTGGCGCAATATCTCTGAGAACGTCACCGACAACACAACGACGTTGTTGTCCAGTGTGGATTCTACGCCACCCTGGGTGTACCTGGTCATTGGAGTATGTGTTGCCGTCATGGGCGTCATTGGCATCATTGGCAACGGCACCGTTATCTGCCTATTCCTCAGGTAAGTCTGATAAAGTCTGATTTATCTGTCAACCGCACCCGTACACGTGCATGCATATGCACACGCACACGTCTATATAAACATGTTAATTGACCCTGATCTACGGACAGGATGAAAGTATTCCTCTAGAGTATATGTGTTGTAAGTATCCAATAATATGATGTACCTTTCAGAGCGAATGATGAAGCAACTCAAGCTTGTCGTAAGAGGCGACTAACGGGATCAGTATGCTTACTCAGTATTCAACCCGTGAAGATCCGGGGTAGAATAGGTCTTCAGCAACCCATGCTTGCCGTAAAAGGCGACTTTGCTTACCGTAAGAGGCGACTAACGGGATCGGGTGGTCAGGCTTGCTGACTTGGTTGATGCATGTCATCGTATCCCAATTGGGTAGATCGATGCTCATGATGTTAATCACTGGATTGTCTGGTCCAGGCTCGATTATTTACAGACCGCCGTCATATAGCTGGAATAGTGCTGAGTGCGGCGTTAAACAACAAACCAACAAACAAAATGTTGAAGACTGGAACATCATCAGCTATTATTGATTGCACAACTATAGAAATACTTATATTTTGATTTGTCTTAAATGGATATGTAAATGAGTGAGTGAGTTGGGTTTAACGCCGCTTTTAACACTATTCCAGTTATATCACGGCGTGTCAGCTTAATGTGGGAGCAAAGCTCGAAGTGACGCACGTCTCAGACGTTTACCACTTCGGTGAAACCCACGAGCACGGGTATGGTGCTGGCAATCCTAGAAACATAATCAGGGCGAACCGGGATTCGAACCCACAATTATATGTTTCTGCATGGCGTGCCCAAGGGACGCAACTCTGCACAGCGAATTGCGGCGCCTTAGACGACTGGGCCACCCGTGCCCCCTGTAAATGAATAGTGTGTAGGTGTGTGAAGGTGAGGTGAAATTGGGTTTAACGTCGCGTCCAAGATTATTGCACTTATATAGCGACGTGCATGCACGTGTATGTGTGTGTGTGGCTGCTTGTACTAGTCCGGACTGATGCCGATTTATAGTGCTAGCTCACTGAGATACCATGCCGCAGTTTAACATGAATACCCCACTCAGACACAGTATACTGACTCCGAGCCGACCAGTCCTTGTTTTAGCCCCTTAATGCCGAGCGCCAAACAGGGTAACAACAAGTACAATCTTTTAACGTCTTTTTGTATGACGCGGCCCGGGATCGAACCCTGGACCTTCCGCTCTCCGGGCGGACGCTCTACCACAAGACCACGGAGGCGGTCTGTGTAGGTGTGTGATAGTTTTCAATATGATTTCAAAATGCCACCGACTAAACCGGATTCTGGGGACAAATAATATTCCTTTCAAAGCTAGGATAATCTTTCAGAATGTTGCTTCTGAAACTTCATCAACGCTTCCAAGGCGCATTGTGTATTGAAAGGCACATGCTTCGTTGGTTATGGGTCACGATACCCCTGGATTTAAAAAAATCTGAAAGCGGAATTACAGGAACCAATTAAAATGGTAGATTCGATCACGCTGACTATTCATAGAGGAAGGAGACCGACTCCACTGACCCATTGTCGCAAAAGAAGCATGCCTTGTTTTCCTTGAGCTGTTTAGCTCATTTATGTTATTAATATACCATACGGCAATACGCATCAAGCTAGTGTGTAATATGTTTCATTATTATTGTTGTTGTTGTTGTTGTTGTTGTTGTTCAACGCCGCACTCAGCAACATTCCAGCTGTATGACGGCGGTCAGTCAATAATCGAGACTGGACCAGACAATCCAGTGATTGACATAATGAGCTTCGATTACGCAGCTGGAATACGATGACATGCATCAATTGAGTCAGCGAGAATGACTACCAGATCATCTTACTACAAGGATAGTCGCCTCTTCGAGGAGAATGGTTTGCTGAAGACAAATGTCCTTTACTACTTAATTATTTAGTCGAAACGTGCCATATTTGATAACGTTCATTATGTACAGCTTCTGTGTGTGTCAATTAGTGAGAAATATCAGATTACAGTCATAGGTTACACTGTGTAAAATGTCCATGCGTATTGAAGCAGATGGCTTCATCACATTCAGCGATTTATTCCCTCCCGGACACGTAGCATATCACTCTGTTGTGTTTTCTGAAAGTGGTTTGTCACTTGCACCAATCGGACTTTTTATTAAAAAAAATATAGTGTTGCTGGGCACCGCGTTCCTATTGTTAATTATTCTTATGTTTGACCAAACATATGTATTATTTTAACACGATGTGTTTAAGGCACTCCCACTGGCGCCAGTAAAATCCGAATTTGAAGCACGCAGTGGTATTACTGATGTTTGTCACGCCTCGGATTTGACAAAAATCGATACCTGATTAGGAGGATTGCGAGTCAAGCCTTTTGATCTCATCCTGAAGCAACAGGCAATCATATTTGAGTGACACTGTAACTTTATGTCAGACAGTTTAACATGCGGCAAAACCAAATTCACTCAACCGTGTTTCCGTTGAAAGCGTGCAGATTATTCGTCAGCTTCATCCATTGGTATTACGCTATGTTACACCTGTACAGTTTCATCAACATTACGTCGTCAAGAAGTCATCATCTGTGTTGATAAGCTAATGTCCAATATAAAGCCACTGCTTTCATACCTTACTGCCATACGTGAGATTTACGCATTAACGTCATACATTAAAGTCACGCACATTCTGTATTGCAATGCATCTTGCATCTCTCTGACGGTACAGCTACATAACATAAACTTTCATGACGCCGCTCGCTGATGGTACAGCTACATAAAACACCTACTTTCATGACGCCGCTCTCTGATGGTACAGCTACATAACATAAACTTTCATGACGCCGCCCTGACGGTACAGCTACATAACATAAACTTTCATGACGCCGCTCTCTGATGGTACAGCTACATAACATAAACTTTCACGACGCCGCCCTGACGGTACAGCTACATAACATAAACTGTTATGACGCCGCTCGCTGATGGTACACCTACATAACATAAACTTTCATGACGCCGCTCTCTGACGGTAGAGCTACATAACATAAACTTTCATGACGCCGCCCTGACGGTACAGCTACATAACTTAACTTTCATGACGCCGCTCTCTGATGGTACAGCTACATAACAAACTTTCATGAAGCCGCCCTGACGGTACAGCTACATAACATAAACTTTCATGACGCCGCTCTCTGACTGTACAGCTACATAACATAAACTTTCATGACGTCGCTCTCTGATGGTACAGCTACATAACATAAACTTTCATGACTCCGCTCTCTGACGGTACAGCTACATAACATAAACTTTCATGACGCCGCTCTCTGACGGTACAGCTACATAACATAAACTTTCATGACGCCGCCCTGACGGTACAGCTACATAACTTAACTTTCATGACGCCGCTCTCTGATGGTACAGCTACATAACAAACTTTCATGAAGCCGCCCTGACGGTACAGCTACATAACATAAACTTTCATGACGCCGCTTTCTGATGGTACAGCTACATAACATAAACTTTCATGACGCCGCTCGCTGACGGTAGAGCAACATAACATAAACTTTCACGACGCCGCTCTCTGATGGTACAGCTACATAACATCAACTTTCATGACGCCGCTCGCTGATGGTACAGCTACATAAAACACCTACTTTCATGACGCCGCTCTCTGATGGTACAGCTACATAACATAAACTTTCATGACGCCACTATCTAACGATACAGTTACATAACATAAACTTTTGTGAGGCCGCTCGCTAATGGTACTGCTACATAAGATACCAACTTTCATGACGCCACTATCTTACGATACAGCTCCATAACATAAACTTCCATGACGCCGTTCTCTGACGGTACAGATACATAACATAAACTTTCATGACGCCGCTCTCTGACTGTACAGCTACATAACATAAACTTTCATGACGCCGCTCTCTGATGGTACAGCTACATAACATAAGCTTTCATGACGCCGTTCTCTGACGGAACAGCTACATAACATAAACTTTCATGACGCCGTTCTCTGACGGTACAGCTACATAACATAAACTTTCATGACACCGCTCTCTGGTACAGCTACACAACACACGTACTTTCATAACGCCGCTCTCTGATGATACAGATACATAACACACGTACTTTCATGACGCCACTCTCTGACGGTACAGCTACATAACAAAAGTACTTTCATAACGCCGCTCTCTGATGATTAAGATACATAACACACGTACTTTCATGACGCCGCTCTCTGAAGGTACAGCAACATAACATAAACTGTCATGACGCCGCTCTCTGACGGTACAGCTACATAACATAAACTTTCATGACGCCGCTCTCTGACTGTATAGCCACGTAACATAAACGTTCATGACGCCGTTCTCTGACGGAACAGATACATAACATAAACTTTCATGACGCCGTTCTCTGGTACAGCTACATAACATAAATTTTCATGACGCCGCTCGCTGATGGTACAGCTATATAATACACCAACTTTCATGACGCCACTATCTAACGATACAGCTACATAACATAAACATCCATGACGCCGCTCTCTGGTACAGCTACATAACACACGTACTTTCATAACGCCGCTCTTTGATGATACAGATACATAACACACGTACTTTCATGACGCCACTCTCTGAAGGTACAGCAACATAACATAAACTGTCATGACGCCGCTCTCTGACGGTACAGCTACATAACATAAACTTTCATGACGCCGCTATCTGACGGTATAGCCACGTAACATAAACGTTCATGACGCCGCTCTCTAACGGTACAGCTACATAACATAAACTTTCATGACGCCGTTCTCTGACGGAACAGATACATAACATAAACTTTCATGACGCCGTTCTCTGGTACAGCTACATAACATAAATTTTCATGACGCCGCTCGCTGATGGTACAGCTATATAATACACCAACTTTCATGACGCCACTATCTAACGATACAGCTACATAACATAAACATCCATGACGCCGCTC